CACTGGCAAACCTTGATTTTTATCTTATGTTACCAGAAGTTTTACAATTTATTTTTGGTCCCTTTTAACATTATGTATTTTTTCTTCCTGCCAATAAATGTGCTTCTCTTATTTAATATTGTCAGTTATGAATGGGCACAAATAAGTTCTTTTACCCATGACAAGAATCTTCCCCTACTCCATGCCTGGATAGAGAGCGCTTCCATCAAAAAGAAAAACAAAAATTTTAAACTCTCATAATCATTTTGCACACTATGGAAGATTTGTATCTTGTATTTTTTCTGTGTTTTATCAAAATATCATATTGTCTTACATATAGATGGTAATCTGCTTATAAGATTTTACCTCCTATGCTTGCTTGCCCTGTCCAACGGATTTGCATTTTATGTACTTTGGTCTGGTCCACATCAAGTATGGCAAAATTATCTTTGAGAAATTTTTTACATTGACAGTATAATAGAATAGACATGACTTTGCCTACATAATCATACATAGTAATTATATTCAAAGTAAAGACTGAGGAAGACTGAATTCTGAAAGTGGGGAAGAAGAGGTAGGAGGCAAAATGGCTGACTAGAGATGTCAGTCACCAGATCATCTCAGAAAGAAGGAAAAGTTTTAGATGAAAAAAAAACAAAAAACAAAAACCATAGCCCAGGTGTAATTCTGAGGGAATAGTACCAGAATGGAGGACAACTGGTACTCCAGTCCTCTTTGTCCCTAGGGGCTCTCCTTGGGAACTTTTTGAGAACAGAGAACCTGGTTGCCAGCCCCTGGGGTTGCTCCCCTCGCCACAAACCCAAGCCAAGAAAGTAGGCACCATATTGCTTTTCCACCCATTGTGTGCCTTTGTCTTATCCAGGGAACTTCAGCCCTTCAGTTTTCTTGTCACTTGTCCCTATGCAAACGTTTCCCAACACCTGCCCAGACTGTGGTGGCCATAGGGAACCAGTGGATCCTGGGGGAACTGTGAGATCCCAGATCTTGGACATTCAGGGCAGGCTGCTTTCGGGGCAGAGAACAGTACAGCAAGCCAAGGAGGGCCCCTTGGGACAAAGAGGACCAGAGTGCCAGCTCTCCTCCATTCAGACTCTCCTCCCCTCCCCTGCCCACAGTTGCTGACACAGCCATGGCAGTTCCCACATGAATTAGCATGTGTGCCCCAAGGGATGATTGAGTTGGAGATCTCTGGAGTGGCTACTTCCCCACTGTTGGTGCCCCCACCACACTCAGGCTTCCAAAGAGAGCAGGGTTCATGCCTTTCTTCTTAGAGACCTACAGCAGACCAAGAATCTTGGACTATGAGTTCCCTGCCCACTAGTCCTCCCCGGTGCTGCCTGCTTCAATGCTCCAATAAAGCAGGGCATTCCCCGAAACAGAGGGACATTAAGCCTGCATGGGCACTCCAACGGCAAGTAAGGACCAACATGCTTTTTCCTGGCATGGTCAGGGATTGAACTTGAGAGATTAGAGTACAGGCCGCAGGCAGGATCCTGTACCCCTAAGACTTAGTTGTGTTGCTTGCAGACACAGAGGGGAGATTTGTGAACTAATCTTGGGAAGCAAGGGAGCCCATGCCAGCAGAACTACAAGGACAGTGGTGTGTGGGTCTAAGCCCATGAAAGAGAAAAGATTTCAAAGACCTCCATCTCCCCTTGCTGACAAAAGACAGGGAATCTGTCCACACACATAGTACACCACTGCTATAACCTACAAATAAATAGCAATTGAGAAAACCACAACACTAAGGATATCGATAACAAATGTATTCATCCAGAACCTAGACCCCCATCAAAGTACTCACAAGCAAAGTCAAAGGTCTTTACCCAACATATGCTACAGGCACACCCTTAAGTAAGAGTGAGGGGTAAAAATAGTCCCACCAAAACAAAAGAAAATTTAAAAACAAGAAGTGACAGCTGCTCCAGGTGAGAAGAAATCAGGGCAAGAACACTGGAAGTATGAAAAATCAGAGTGAGAGGACCACCCCCAAAGGAGCACACCCACTGTCTAGCAACGGATCTCAACCAAAATGAAAATACTGAAATGACAGATAAAGAATTCCAAATAGGGATTTTAAGGAAGCTCAATGAGATCCAAGAGAAAATGGAAAACAAACTCAAAGAAATCAGGAAAATAATTCGGGAAATGAATGAAAAATGTACTAAAGGGATAGATATATTGAAAAAAACATGGCTGGGCACAGTGGCTCACGCCTGTAATCCTAGCACTCTGGGAGGCCGAGGCAGGCGGATTGTTTGAACTCAGGAGTTCGAAACCAGCCTGAGCAAGAGCGAGACCCCATCTCTACTAAAAATAGAAATTAATCGGACAACTAAAAATATATAGAAAAAATTAGCCAGGCATGGTGGCACATGCCTGTAGTCCCAGCTACTCGGGAGGCTGAGGCAGAAGGATGACTTGAGCCCAGGAGTTTGAGGTTGCTGTGAGCTAGGATGACACCACGGCACTCTAGCCCAGGCAACACAGTGAGACTCTGTCTCAAAAAAAAAAAAGCAAATAGAACTTCTGGAAATGAAAATTTAATTTAGGAAAATATAAAACACCATGGAAAGTTTTAAGAGTACACTAGACCAAGCAGAATAAAGAATTTCAGAGCTTGAAGACAAGTATTTTGAAACCCAATCAATTAAAAATAAAGAACAAAAAATTAAGAGGAATGAACAAAGTCTATGAGAAATATGGGATTATGCAAAACAACCAAATATAAGAACCATAGGGATCCTGGAGGGTGAAGAAGAAAAAGGCCTGGAAAATCAATTTGAGGGAATAGTTAAGGAAAACTTCCCTGGTCTTGCTAGAGATTTAGACATCTACCAATAGACAAGAAGCCCAGTGAACACTTGGGAGATTCATTGCAAAAAGGGCATCACCAAGGCATATGGTCATCAGACGGGCCAAAGTGCATGTGAAGCAGGACGCCCTATGAGATGTGAGGTGAAAACATTAAGTAACTTACAAAGGAAAACTCATCAGACTAACATCAGAAATCTCAACAGAAACTGTAAAAGCCAGAAAGGAAAGGGGTTCTATCTTTAGTCTTCTTAAGCAGAATAACGGCCAGCCAAGAATTTTGTGTCTTGCAAAACTAAGTTTGATAAATGAAGGAGAAATAAAGTCTTTCCCAGACAAGCAAACACTAAGGGAATGTATCACCACTAGACCTGCGCTACAAGAAATGCTTAAAAATATGCTGGACATGGAACAGAACAATGGATACCCACCAGTATAAAGACACCCCAAAGTTAAAATTTATAGGTCTTATAAAACAGTAACATAAGGGAGATAACAAAGCAACTATGTAACAATCAAAATGATGATCAGAACAGTATCTCACATATCAATAACAACATTGAGTGTAAATGGTCTTAATGCCACCCTTAAATGATGTAGATTGGCTGAATGGATTTAAAAAAAGAAAAAAAAGCTCAAATATATGCTGTCTCTAAGAAACCCATTTAACTTGCAAAGATTTTCACAGATGCAAGGTTAAGGGGTGAAAAAAATGTTCCATGCAAATGAAAACCAAAAGTGAACAGGAGTAGTTATTCTCACATAAGATAAAATAAACCTTAAATCAACAATGGTAAAAGAAAAAAAAAAAAACAAAGATGGTCATTATATAATGATAAAGGAATCAATTCAACAAGAAGATATAACAATTCTCAATATATATGCACCTAACATAGGAGTTCCCAGATTCATAAAGCAAATTCTGTTAGATGTAAGCAAAGAAATAAACGACGTTCACAGATGTCATTTGGCTTCTTTGTGGTTGTGAGACTTAAACATCACGTTGGAGACTCATCTTCGGGACACGGGGGACTGAGGGGTGAGAATCTCAAGAACTACAGTTCTTGTCTAGTGTGAAAACAGCTAACCAGAAAGTATCACGAAACCAACACCAGCAGACACTTTGAAGATTTTGAATGGGAAAACCCCGGGTGGATTTGTGAAGAACTAACACCTCAAGGATGTACAGAAATGACTGATGCTTATGAAAAAATAATTTTTCAATCAGGGCATTAAGGAAAATGTGGAGTTTCTTGATATGTACTGAATGAATCTAGTCACTGGTTTTATAAAATCTTTTTATCAAAAACATGTGCTATAAATACATAGACTAAATTCATTGCCAGCTTTCTAGTATCATAAGCCTTGATCTCACCCTGAAAATTAGGGCTGTTTTATCGGAGGCCCAACTTGTGATATTTTTACCCAAATCATATCAAACATATTATTAAACAAAAGGAAACCACAACCCATATCAACTAAACTTTCAACTGTAAAGAAATATTTTCATGTATTACTACTCTGATTTTTATTTTGCAACTTTTCTTTTGTACTTTCAGTCCATTTTTTCTTTTGGTAGGCCTTTGAAGAAAGGCCCTAGGCTAGGGGATAAACCTTAACGCTGGGTGGATAAATTCGCCTTTCTCTAAAGAATGCCTCAGTCATTCTGAAGAGTGTTTATGTATTTTGTCCCCTTCACTGAATAGAAATAGTACAAGGTCTATGATCTACAAAAACTAACAGCACAAAAGTTCCTCAGGGCCCAAAATGTTAAATGCAGGGACCAAGGGAAAACTTCTCCTTTGCCTTCTGAAGGTTTTTGCAGGGCTATTTCTGTCTGCAGGCCCCTCCGAATAGCCATCTCAAAATATGTTAAGGAAGTATATTTTGGGTGAAATATCGATTTCCTTCCTAAGTCTTCCCATTCCATATGTTTTCATCATACAAGGAGATTTTGGAGAAGATGCTGCTTGATGAAACCAGACAACATAATTATATTTGCATTATGAGACATATAAATTAAAATCTCATTTTTCTTAATAGAGATTTCATAGCTAGTCATGGAAGATTAAAGAGGACTTGGTGTGTTTCAAAGAACATGAAAATCTGCAGAGGGACACAGCATCATCAGCACTCAGGTTGTTGGGGTGAATTGCAGACTCAATTGTTTCTCATTTTTTGCACAGCCTCCATAGTGATTGGGAAATGGTGGTGTGAGATGGAGCCTTGCCTAGAGGGAGAAGAATGTAAGACACTCCCTGACAATTCCGGATGGATGTGCGCTACAGGCAACAAAATTAAGACCACAAGAGTAAGTTCACTAATTTCATATGTCTTGTGCATGGTGTAAACCGTACCATTTGTCTTAGTGTTGTACAAACAGCATCTAGAGAAGTTTTGAACAGGAGAGAATGACTCTTGCCTTACAGATAACATTCTTAATTATGCAGATCAGTGTCCATCCATGAATAAGAAGTTAGAGATTAAACTTGACCTTCCCACACTCTCTGTTACTGAGTCTTAAATTAAATCGGGTTGCAATAGCCAGAGGGAAGAGAAGTAGTGAGATGGTTATTTGGATAGTTCATCCAACATCTATGGTGCTCAGAATGATAATCAAAGAAAGGTCTTGCCCAATGCACCCAGATGGTTTGCTGAAAAGGTCTGCATTTATGTACAGCCATTTTCTAAGGGTTCTTTAAAGGAATTCTTTGACGATCTTTTAGAGAACTGAAAAGGTTTTTGTGAAGTGAATGATAATTCCTTGATTTCTCTGGTTGAATATAGAGTGCTCTTCAAAATATGTAACCACCTTTAGGGTGAGGTGGTCCAACCCCTCAGAGTGGGTGCCCTGATGCTGGAGCATGGTGGAAAGGCCCAACTAGCAAGATCTTATCCCTGTAGGTACTGGATAGTCTGGGATTCCTAAAGGAGAAAGGGGTAGGAAGGCACTGGGGATGCTTAAGACAGTAACTATTTACCAACTAATACAAAAGCATGTCAGTACTTTAACAACGAGTATGGTCACATGTATGTGTATCACTTGAATATCAACCTGTGTGTGTGTGTGTGTGTGTGTGTGTGTGTGTGTGTGTGTGTGTGTGTTGTCGAAGTGGAAAATTGGAGAATTCCACTGCCGGGTTTCCTCCTTTGCAACCTTTCCCTGGGCTTCCTCCCCTGCCCCCCGCCCTGGCAGCTGCTGCCCTCATAAATCACCTGTAGCAATTAGCGTACCGGTGAAGTAGCTAGGACTCTGCCTCACTAAAGTTAACCCTGTTGTAACCGTGCCCCTCCTCCTTAAGCAGAGTGTATAAAAGACTGCTATGCTCTTTGTCTGGTGCTCAGAATTTGGGGAGAGCAAAGCCCCTCTGAGTCTTGCTGGCCGGCGTGAAATAAAACCTGTTTTTGCCAAATCTCCATGTGCCACTCATTTTGTTCCCACTCAGCTCTACGGCAACACTGTCATTTCTTGGGTATTTTTTAAAGCAAGCTCCACCAATTACAAATCCCAGTATGTTGAAATTTTATTCTACCAAAAGGGTGACTCAAATTTAAATATGCATCTCTGATTCCAACCCCTGTATCATGAATCTTAATTTGTTCTTTCTTCTCCATATCATCTTTTCAATAAATAAAGCTGGGTCTTGAAGCTTTGTGATGCAGAAAACAAAAATAATGCTTCATAACACTATATAAAACACTCAAATAAAATAAGTGGAGATATTTCATTTTGTGTTTCAAATTTAGTTACCTGTGTTGACCATATTAACCAGTGAATGGCCACACCTCCCTGTCCTGTGGTCAGCAGGGGTTCCTGGACCACCCTGGCATTTTAACGTGAGTCTGCATGTACCTGAGTAGCTCGGTGTGGATTACTGCATTTTATTTCAATGAAATGCCTACAGAAGAGAGTGTTCAGAATGAGTGTGGTTAAGGCTACTTACCCACAGAAACCATTTTAATTAGCTGATGAAGAGCAGATGTCATGTTTCCCTTTGGTTATGTTTTACCTGAAAATGCTTTTACCAAATAATTTGAAGACTCCCTCACAAGTTAGTTTAAGTTATTCTGAATTATAGCTAGTACGATTGGAATGCAGTCACCTTTGTTTTAAAGGTGTTTACACACATTGCTGGTGTATATTCCACCAAATCTCTATTCTCTATTCCAAATGATAACCGATGACCTTTTATTGAAGGTAAGCCTTTTTCTTATGGTGTCTCCAGACCTGAAACTCAGTAAATAAAAATAATTCAAGTCAAGATTTAAATATGGAAAATTCCAACAGCACCAACTAGGGGACTCTTTGGAAGGTAGAATATAAACTAAACAAAAACAAAAACAAAAAACACCCAGAAATTGTTAATGCTACTTTTTTGCGATTTATGTAGCTTTCTTTTATTTGGCCTCTGTAGAGAATATTTTAAAACCATCAGGCATGTTGTAAATACACCCTGGACATTTTCTGGCATTACAGGAATATTGTGCAGAATCCGATCACAGTAACAAAGGCTGGAGCACACTGTTTGCTCCCACCCTAGTGGGAGGTGAGGTGAGTCCCACCAACACAGTTGAATGTACAAGGGAAATATTATTAACCACAGTTGCAGTCAGTTTGAGAGCAGAGGATGTACCTGCTCTGACGTGTGCATCTGTCAGGTTTTAGTCTGAAAATGTCTGTTCTTGACGCGCTCATGGCCGAAGAACGACCAGACACTCCAAAGTTAAGCAAGCATGAAAATGAGGTTTATTGAGGAGAGAAAGACAGGATTATAGGCAAGAGCAAGATACAGGTTTACAGAGCATGGTAAATACTCCACAGATGATGACCGGACCCATTGTCACAGCAGGGCAAGCAAAAGGAAGGGCAAAGAGAGGGATTGGTTATGGACTGCATCTTGTTTTACAGTGCCAGATTGGGACCTCCTTCATGGTTCAGAGGTCACCATGGAACCACTTTGATTGGACAGTTGGGAGCTGCATGACCTAGTCTTAACTACGCATGCAGGTTGTTCCAGGTCAATTTCCAGACTCTATGGTACTTACGCTGCTTGGCCCGTGGGCTAGAGAGCCCTCTGCATTCTTTTGCAGCTGACACGCTAAGTTGATTGGCAGATTCATAGGGTATTCCCTCCTCCCCCAGGCGCTCGGGAGATTAGGGTGGGGCAGGACCAAGATGGGGGCCACAGCACCCACTTCCATCCCTAGGAGACCCAGAGTCCCTCGCTATCTACCAAACACCTCCATTTCAGGAGAGAAAATAGGAAACTGCTCTATAGCCTTGTGGGCTGCATATCAGTCAACTGAGAATTCTCAAGTCTGTCTTTAGAGCAGAAACAAGAGGACACTGGGAAAAAGGCTATACTTTTTAAACCTCAAAAAGACTCAAACACTGCTGCTGATATATAATTTTTCTCCCCTCACCTTCCCAGGAAATTCACAATGAAACAAGCACTTTTAAACAGAAAGGCACCAATTAAGTCTAGACGATGCATATCGGAACTGTGCATTCTGTATCAATGGCGAGCAAACACCAGTCCTTAGACCATATGCTCTGAAAATAGGATTTATATTAATTTTTCTTGTATGCCTTATGTATTTTTCCCTATCAGAGCACAAATATGCCTACACACTTCAAATATGGACTCTAGCCATTTTTTACTTTTAAAATAGTCTAATTTACAGATGTACTTTAATTATTATGAGTCACATGTTTTCATTGTTTTTATCAGAGGTAAGAAAAATAAAGAGAGCCACCTCTTTTGTTCTTTTTTTTATAAGATTGATTCAAAAAGAGCACTCTCCAAAAAAAAAAAAAAAAGAAAAGAAAAAAAGCTGAAGAAACACACCCAGATTGTTAATGGCAACTGAGAGCTCACTTCATACTATTATTTAAAACCTAACTCCAATATAAAGATAATATCAGGAAAGCTTCCTGGGACTTCATTCTCCTTCCCTTTAAAAAATTTTTCCAAACCTTCCTACTCTGTGGGTTACTTCTAAAATAATCATCCTAAGACAAAATTCTCAGAAGTCTTTGAAATGTAGATAAACAAATGATTCTTCAAAGTGTTATCTAATTTAAAATTTTATGGTGTTCATTTTTTAAGGAGGATGAAGAGTAGAAATTCAGTGTTTCATCTAAACTGCCAGACACCCCAGGACATGGACTAGCCTGGCTAACAGGCCACAGTCTAAAGGAAAACCTTGGGTACATTGGATCTGCATGACAATATAACCCACAGAAAGAAGGAAAAAAGATAGGCGGAATTAGGCAAATCCTTTCCTTTCAGGAGCTTTGGAAGAATAAATCTTGGGAAGAGAGGAAGACTCCTGGATGCCACAATATAGAAAGGAAATAGTTAACCTTAGGAGATTTCCCAAGACCCAACCTGGAGCAGAATAAAGCTGGTATCACACACCCTCCTGGGAAGAAGCTTAATACATCTGGGTGATGTTTCATGGCCAAATATTAACCCTGTCTCTGCTTAATCAATCATTCCTTAAATTGTTTCGTTTGTTGGTAGTTAACAGCAAGACTAACCACTCTAATTATTGACCAGAGATCTTTTCTTGTGGTTTTAGAGACCTATGAATTAATTTTTTTTCATTAAACTAATATATCAAACACATATGTTTGAATGTTGCGGAGGCTATATCTCATGTGTTCAGGAACACATCTATACCTTTTGTATTCAGGAACAATGACTTAATTTAGAAAGACAAAGTTCCCCTTAGAGGAAATAAGTTATTTGACGATGCTGTAATACTTCCAGCTAAAAACTGAACATCAATTGTTTGAGGACAGGAAGAGAAAGAAGATGAAAGGAGGAGAAAACCGAAGTCACTTGAAAAGAAAAATTAACAGGTTAAAAAAGCAGAACATAATCTGGTGTAATACTCCAGGAAGTATCAAACAACTCTGAATTTGCTCCATTCCAGTATGTGAATGTCACTCAAACTAGTGAGAAAATCAACAGTTAGTGCAAAATGGAAAGTCAAGTTTCATCCCCTGAAAGGGAAAGTTAGCAGACCTGAGATTGCAAAACTAACCACAATAGCCATCTTGTCAAATCTATGTTTTATGTGACTGGCCCAACACATATCCACCACAGTCATTTGTCTACACTCTCCGGGGTCCCTCCTCCTAATGACAACTCTAGTTTTGCATTCCTCCACCCATTTTAAGAACCTCGATGTTTGTATATTACTAAAAGGGCAAAGTACTCGCTTCAACGTAATCCAGCTGCTCAGAATTTCACCAGATCTGAAATGGTCTGAGAGCCTGTGACTTTACAATCCTGATCCACAGTCCATTTTGCATGACATACTTTTTAAAGAGAGAATGAGAGAGAGAGAGAGAGAGAGAGCAATCTAAAGAAATAATAATAACTGTTCAGAAGGATAAAGAATTGGAAAATAAGGAAGAGACATTGAAAGACATAGAAAATATTGAGAGATTTAGAAATTGCAGGAAGAATAAACAAATAAACCAATTTACACTATCATAATTACCCGTGGGTCCAAGTGAACTCAATCATTTCTTTAGCTAATAAACATATTTAAGCCTCTATGATCTAAATAAAGTATATTAAAGTCTTGGGGATGTATGTGACAGAGGACATGACAGAACCCTTGGTCTTCTATAGAGGATAGGGCCTAAGGTTGGGGAGGAGGGAACAGAGGTAAAAGAAAGGCAGTTTCAATTTAGTTTTGTGAATGTCACTTTGTCCCTTCTTTTGGTGGAAAAGAAGACAGTGTAAACAAAAAGTGGTAAAGGTCACTGGAATGTAGGAAAACAAGGTTTGGAAGAAGAATCTATTATTTTTAAGATGAGGATAAGAAAATAAATGTGTGAAGATTTCTCATACATTCTACCCCTGGCGTAACCAACTTCTCAATGCAGACTTTTGTTATTGTTCCTGTATAACTCTGAAAACTTTAAATGGACTCAGAACACTCAATTTCTAAAACTATAAACAAGAGATAATAAATAAAAATGCCTTATTTCTTCAAACTCTAAATAAAGGCTTCAACTTTATTAGAATTATTATTTGTGTTCTTAGTGATTCTCTGTGCATGCATTTTTAAAAAATATCTGATTCTTTGACACCATATTCAAATGGATTAAAATATATCTACAGTTATAGGAATAGACTTGATTGCCCTTGAACATTCTGCCATTGTGTAGAACAGTTTCTCATCTTGCAAAGGTCTCCTATGTTCCTACATAGATGTGGTCTAACCTTGGCAACAACTTCACCTCATGCCAGTCCTCTACATCTTACAACAGGCCAACTTGAGAAAGCCATGGAATGAATGACCTACTCAGTTCAAATTCTCATCAGAGGACTACAAATTACAGAATTTGCAAGGCCTAGTGTAAAATGAGAATGCAGGGCCCTTGTTCAAACATTATTAATAATTTCAAGATGACGACAGTAGGACATTAAACCAAGCATGGAGCCCTGTCCAAAACAGAGCCCTGTGTAACCCATGAAGCCAGTCCCTGCTAGACATTGCTCCAAGAGTCTGTCTTCTCAGTTGTGAACAGAATTAATTCAATGAATTGATGAAAATATAGTTGCCTGTCGATATACTTTGATCACCGTTTGAACAAACTGCTGCTCTAAACTTTAAGATTTTTGAGTTCAAAATCCTGAAAAATCCAAGATGTCCTCATTTTCTGCATAATCACATTTCTTTTGTGCTGTTCTCCCTGAAATGTCTTTCTTTCTTTGGTTTCAGATTCACCCGAGAACCTAACAGAAGCATCTGTGGTAGTAAAGGAAAACCAACCCTGCGGAAAATACATTTTGAGAGTTTAAAACATCTTACACATTTACAAGCCAAATGGATTTCTTATTTGCACTTTGACTGGTTACCAGATAATCACAGTGCGTTTACTGTGTGTATCAAAATATCCTACAGTGAGAAGACTCGGAGTTTTGGGCAACACCATGGAAAGTGGGTTTTAAAAAAAGAGTTTTCTCAGTGAAATTTTTTGGGATCATGAAGAACGATCAATCTCTTCTAATTTGAATCTACAGTTACTTTGTACCATTTGAAATACATGTATATATATAATATTTTGAAATATTATATATTTCTCTTCAAGAAACGAACAGTACCACAGTTTGAGATGGCTGATGTACCCCTTTGAGTTTTGGATGTTTGGTCTGTTTTGCTTTGTTTTGTTTGTCATTTCTTTTCTATTGGCAAGGAAGATATGTGCCCTTTTGAGAATTCAAGATGGCGCTGACACTGGAAGGCCAGCTACAGGTGGACTCCTGGAATATGAGGCATCATAACGATACTGAGTCAAGAGCTTCCTTCTGTTTCTACTAGATGGCCCAAGGAAGCGCATCATCCTGTTTTATTGCTTTCTACCCTGTGCAATATTAGCATGCAAGCTTGACTTACATAACCATACTTTATATTCAATTGATATATAATAACCGTTCTAACCTCTTCCAGGAAAATATTTTTAGAACTACTAGCTTTTCCACATACACGAAAATGAGGATTCTTGAGGGAGCTGCTCTACCATGCTATTAAGACTCTGGCAGAGTTATGTTAGGATATGGATCCCTGTATTAATAAGTCCTGTAAATACAACATCTTAAGGCTTTGTATAGCTGTCCTAGACTGCAGAAATGATCTCCAATTAAATCCAAAGTCTGGCATCATTAACTACATAGTGCTGTAGCCACAATCTTATCATAGCGCCTCTTTCTATGTTTGATTTGCTTTTTCCAAGAGTATTCAGATATCCTCTGGTGAGATAGGAAGGCTATGAAAGCAATTAGGTTTCAGAATGATCTATGTGACCAAATGTTGGACAGCCCTATTAAAGCAGTAAATAACTTCTTTCTAAACCTACTTGTCCTCTTTATTTGCCATTTATTTTTACTGAATTACTTTTAACCAAATCCAGAGAACACCCCGCCCAGGGACTCACAGTCAACCAGAACTTCTTCCACGAGGTCTTTTCTTCCATCGTGGCTACTATTTCCAACCCGAATATTTTGAAGACCAGAAACTCATTACTATAACTGCAGGGCCCTCAGTCAGCAAGATGAAACGTCAAATCACTGGGCTTCCATAGTGGTCATGGGGATGATACGGGGCTCACCCTCCCAAAAAGAAATTATTCACCATCTCCTCTTTTGAGAATTAGCTAATGCTTATAGGAAGAAAATATCCACTTAAGTTTTAGTTTTCTTAGAGCTAGCATAATAGCACTTTACATTCTAGTCACTTATCCTATCAGGCAAGTGTATCTGTTTTTTCTGCAAAACCTATTCTCTGGAATGCATATTGGTAGGACCTCTTATTAGATCAGTAGCACATTAGGTCCTGTAATCTGGGCTTTTTAATTTAAAACTCAGACAAAATCCAGAGGCTCCTTCATCTCTACTAAGGTAGCCTGAAGTCTGATTGAACGTGTAAACGCTCTAACTGGATAAATTGATTCTGCATCTTGAAGGTCTATAAAAACATCTAGAGATAGAATCCTGACTGTGAAACCGAGGCTTCCTAAAAACTTTAACAAATATTTTCCAGAAGGTAGCATAGAATTCACACCAGTGAATCAGAATTTTTTTAATTTATGGTCCAGATCCCTATACCAAATAATATAGTAGAAATTGCCTTTCATCTGTAAACTTTGGAGTAAAAACTGAAATCATAAACCCAAAGAATTATCTAGAACAGACCATTCCAAAATGTGGAGGAAAAAACTTCTATAAACAAATATATTTGGGAAAATTTTTTATACAGAATAAAGTAGAAATCTTTACTGAGGGAATTGTCAGAGGCTTTAATACACCAGAAGACACTGTGTATCTTCCAAAAAGAGTAGAACAAGGGAGGTTGTGTAAAAAGCCTCCAAAATCCAGGCACGTTGAGTGATCACTTGGCTAATGGGAGCACATGCCTTGTGTAATGGGAAGCTATAAGAAATTATTTTTATGTGAGAATATAATCACTGCATTGTCCTATTTTCACTTTTTCAAAAGAATCAGAAATCTAGGGTTTTTTTTTTTTTTACATAAAACTTCCTAACTTTCCTAACGTGAGGTGAACTAATTCCACTTTTAAAATGCTGCAAGCATTAATGTTGCCCCATGTTCTCTGAACATGTGGACTTTACTATGAGATTGGTGTTCCCTGGGATACTCTTTTAAAAGCACAGATCCTACGTGAAAATCCAGTGAGGAAAAAGAAAGCTATTCTCTTTCATAAGGCCTCACACCTATAGACACTTTTCATAGCTCACAATACGTGATGCTCACAGCTTTTCCTATTCTGTAACCCCAACCCCTAAGTCAATGCAAGAGCTAGTCTGGAGATCCACATCTGTTAGTTCATTTCCCATTGGTCAATTCATGTGATAGCCTCCCTTGGAAAGACCTGGGGAAAGAAACAGAGGGGAAAAAAGACCACATCAGAGTCAGACAACCATCCAATAAGCCAGTGCAAATATTTGTAAATGTCATCAAATTCAATTTGGATTTATCCAAGTCCCTTACACAAATGTGTGAACCATCAAATTGTGTTTAAATATAACTTGCTCCAGTTTGGGAAATTCAGTAGCTACCATCTGCCTATTGAATCTGAACATTTATGGTGTAAAAACTTATATCACGTATTTCTGGTAATAAAGATCTCGGTGTGGTATGACTAATATTGATTTTGAGCTTGTGCATCCAGTATAATGAATAACATTATAAGATAATTAGGATAAATGCAAAGAGTTTCATACAAGCCCTTCTTTTGGTAAAAGGAGAAAAATATGGCTTATTTTATAAGATGAAGATTTTCAAATAGAGTAAAGCTTATTTGTGGACATTTTGGGGTAGTTAGATTTATCTACTAATGGACTTGGCAAGCACATTGAGAAGTTTATGGGCTTGGATTTTTTTCTATTATAGAACGATGAAGACTGTTTTCACCAACACACAATTCAACATCTTTTTTTCTTTCAAATAGAGTATAACTTTCACAAAGCAATATAGCAGTTTTATAGTGCAGTATATTATGCCACCTTGCCATTGTCACCAATACAGTAAGTTATGGAGGGTATAAAAATTGTTTATGCGAGGGGATCCACCGCATTCCTCACCTGCATGCGTACACACTGCTTCCTGGAAGGTTAAGTATCATGTAATAATATGACTTTTTCTTTTAATTAAGATTGACAGCCCCCATTTCAAAAGCTATTAGGGTTTGTTTGACAAAGAAGTGTGTCATGTCTGTTTTTGTGAGTTGTCTACCTTCTAAATAAAAGATTCAGGGTAGTGAATTGTAGGACTCAAGCCATCTCCATCTAGTTTATAAATACAAGAAAACATGGTAAACGGTACTACTCAGAAATGTGAGGACTTGGAACTAGTAGCAGCAGGGATAGAATCTAATTTCCTGGTACCCATGGGCATAATAGAAAAGTGACGAAACAGAATCATGTTCACACTTCAAAGTATATTAAAGAGAAGGCCATTAATCGCACGTACACCCCCGGCCCCAATAAGTCCACTATTAAAGATTTAGAGATTTTAAGTTGAAGAGGCCAGGATTTTTTTTCTTATAAAAGAGCTCAGGGGCATATCATTGAGTGTTATGACATGCTCACATCATTGGACGGAGAGTTTCATTTTTGAAAAATATTGGGTTCTCATTTATTCTGGTAGCTAGTTGCATTATTTAAAAAATGATAACCGATCACCGAATGTGAAAGCCAGGACCCCAGCCCTGATTAACTGTATTTACAGACAGGGTGATGTTTATCCAGCCCTGATTCCCACATGCTTAGACAAGCCGCAACCCAAAAGTAGACTCATATGCACATCATGACAAAAACCTGAAGCCAGATTACACATAAGACGGTGTTTCAACACCATCAGGCCATGGCACATGATAGGTGGCCATACGTTAAGGAGTAGGTAGGAAGTGGCTTCTTACTATTGACAGTCTGCAAATAAATTTTTAAAGTAATTATAATAGGGTCAAGGGTAGTTCTCAAACAGGGTATAAAAGTCACGTATGCCTTTAGGAGCCAGCCAGGTAACACGAGTCAGGTAAGCAGGGCCACCTGTAATGTCTCAGCATGCCCTGATGAAGGTAGAGACCCTGGCCCACTTCCAGACACCAGTAGCCAGAATTAGGTCCCGTGCAGCATTAAGGAGCCAATGTGGCCAGATTCTTCTGATTTTTTTTAGGAATATCCAGTAAGTCACATGTTGATATGTGAGTATGGCAAAAACAAATTCACAGTTTTTCTTCTGCTCTTATGCCACTCAACAATCAACACAGAAGACTTCAATGACCAAATGGGAAGGGGGATCCCCTCACACACCAAGCAAGCAATCAGTTCTACAGCAGACACCAGCTGGGTGTCCTCTAATTCAACCCAATTTTGATACTCTCTACCTGGAGATATCATCAGATCCCACAGAGTGATGGCTCAGTCCTACAAGATTGGCCCCTACTTCCAATGCCAATAGCAAGTCCCAGGTTATTTTACCAGCCAGCTATAAATCAAGGTTTCCAGGATGCCTTCCTTGGATTCAAATAATTTGCTGGAGTGGCTCGTGGATTTTAGGAAAACGCTTACACGTACCAGTTCATGAGAAAGGGTATTACAGAAGATTCAAATGAAGAGATGCGTAGGGCAAGGTATGGAAGGAACAAGGAGATTCTCTGCCCTCCCAGGTGCACCAACTTCCAGGGACCTCTATTTGTTCAGCTATCCGGAAGCTCTCTGAACCCTGTCCTTTTGGGTGTTTATGGAGACTTCATTATATAGGCATAACTAATTAAACCATTGGCCATTGGCGATCAACTTCATCTTCAGCCCCTCTCCCCTCCCAGGATGTTGGGAGTGGGGGAGCTGGAAGTCCTGACCCTCTAATCCTGCCTCGGTCTTTCCGGTGACCAGACCCATACTGAAGCTACCTAGGGGCCCCCACTTAACCCAGAAAAGCTTGCAACCTCTCTCCCTGAGTTTTCATGTCTGTAAAATGGAAATCATTATACAAAATTTAAAGGTTATGGGAAGACCCATAAAGTGGGAATGTTTTACAAATATAAAGCAGTATGTAAGCAATTATTACTATAATTATTGTCAGATTACTCTTATTATGTTGTCACCTAGAAGCTCCCTGTGTCAGGGCTAGCCCAACTCAAGGCAAACAAACTTAAAAAAAACAACCAAAATGTTATTTCACATTCTTTTCTAGAAGACTTGAAGACTAGAGAGACTTTCGCTCAACTTTGTATTTAATAGAATTCCTCATCTGCTAGCACCACTGCCAGTGTTTTTAAGCCACTGGAAAGTGCCAATATAACCTACACTGGAGCAATACCATTGACACAGCAAGTTGCATGTTGGAGAAGGCACCCCATTGGTGTCCAGAATGTTCATCCAGAACTTGAATTGCTAATGACCTGAGTAAGCCATCTGGTGTGTAAGAGCATGATCAGAAACTACACACAGTATCGTGGAGAGGCCACTCTTCCCCACACTGAGTCCTTTTGTCATCTGGGCTAATTGTCCAGGAAGATTCACATGTAACCCTACATTACTGCAGAGGCATGACCTTTCATGTGCTCTCTTACACATACATCACTGGCAAAGACTGCTTTCATTCCTTCACTCATTCATTTAATAAAGTAAATATCCGTTGTTACTATGTATCAGGCACAGTGCTAGACACTGTTGATTACTTCAGACCTTACATTGTTCCTAGGGAAACAGACAAGAACAAAAGTGAGCAAATAATTACAGATCATGATAAAAGAAATTCAAAAGGAGCCAAGAAAGTAAATAATGGGAGGAAAATGCTAACTTTGGTACGATGGCCAGGGAACATCTCTA